GGCTCACCATTTACTGGAGGTGCAATTTAAAAAGAAAAAAAATTACTACCAATTAAACTAGGATACACTGCCAATTATAAGATATATTCAGATTTTCTGAGTAGTAATTTGTGGGAAAATATACATCTTAGATTCAATAAAAAAGCAGTGATAAAAGAGACAGTCTCTGTCTTCAGGTATCTTCTGTTCTACAGAGGGGACCTGATAATAAATATTCATTGACAGATTATGATAAGTACCATAAGGAAAAATAACACAGGGAAAGGGGGTATACAGTGAAAGGAGCTGCTGGGGTAGCTAGAGAAGGCCCCTTTGGGAAGTGAAATGAGCAGGGACTTGTTAAGATATGAGTGGTGGATAAGCAATGTTCCAGCAGAGGCCTCATCAAATACAAAAGATCTGAAGAGGGCTTTAAGGACAGGCAAGGCAAGTACAGTACAGGTGGGACACAGTCCCATCTCCTCAGGCCCAGCGGTGTTTCCCAGGTGAAAGCAGGTATCCTTGGTCTAGTTAGGTAACCATAGTGGGTGGGGAGGCCAAGAAAAGTATAACAACTCTCAGGACAGAGGGTGTAGAACCATATCACGTAGTTTTCAATCTTCATCCTGCCACTTGTAAGTTTTGTAAACTTCAACAAATTATCTAACTATTCTGAGCCTTGGTTTGCTCAGTTGTAAAAAGGACACAGTAAAAACACCGACTTACAAGTTGATTTGGAAAATTAAAAGGGGTAGCACTTGCCAATCAAGACACAAACAATCAGTTATCACCACCTTTTACCCTAAAGTTACTTATTTATGAGACAGGGTCTTGGTTTGTGGTTCAGGCTGACCTCAAACTCACTAGGCCAGTCTGGCTTTGAACTTGAGGCCATCTTCCTGGCTTAGCCTCCTGAGCGGTGGGATTATAGACATTCACCACCACACCTGGCAATCATTTTAAAAATTGTATCAAGGTAAGGAATAAATTAATTTAGTTGAGCCTAAAAATATAAGACTACTTTTCTTGGGCCAGGGATTTAGCTCAGTGGTTTCGCCGCCTGCTGTGCAGCAAGCGCAAGGACCCAAGTTCGATCCCTGGTACCAAAAACAAAGGACTACTTTTCTGGATTACTAACTGGTAGCCATATCATTAGAGGAATAAACTTTTTGTTATATGTATATACACATATGTATTAGTTCATTTTTCTAAATAGTGACGTCATTTTGGGAAACTGACAGATGCATGTAACATAACTTGTTCGTTTTCATTTTTTTTCCCCAGTACTGGGGATCAAACTCAGGACACTGCACTTGCCAAGTGTGGCGACACGGAGCTCCATCCCCAACCCTCATTTTCAATCCCTTTATCCCCTTCTCCCACTCCTTCCCCTAATTCTCTCCCTATCTCCAAATGTCTACCTTCCAGTCTTCTATCATCTCTCCTGGCCATATTTTTTTTTTTTTTTGGTACCAGGGCTTGAACTCGGGTCCTTGCGCTTGTGCAGCAGGCAGCAAAACCACTGAGCTAAATCCCCAGCCCTCACCTCTCCTTTATTTATATTTTAGTTTTTTCATGTAAGGGAAAGCATATGATATTCAACTGAGTCCAGCTTAGGGGAAATACATTTTTTATGACTTTGAACTTGCCTTCTCAAAAGTTCCTTTTTTTTTGAGACAGGGTCTCATGCTGTAGTTTAGGCTGGCCTTGAACTCACTACGTAGCCCAGGGTGGGCTTGAACTCTTGGCAATCCTGCCTCAGCCTCGCACATACTGGGATTACAGGTGTACACCACCATGCCTGGCCTCTCTGAAGGTGGTTTTTAAAATAACATGTTATAGCGGCTGGGGATGTAGCTCAGTGGCGCTGCGCCTGCCTGGCAAACACAAGGTCCTGAGTTCAATCTCCAGTACTGCAAAAAAACCAAAAACCCCCCAAAAACCAAACATGTTATCCTCCTATATAAAGTGGTTGTTTTGCAGTATAATTTATGGAATTAAGTCCCCCCACGTTTAATCACTTATAACACCTATAATAAGGGGGATGAACTGTTAAGGAATATTATACCTACCATATAGCCTTTTTAATTTTATTTATTTTTGGGGGGTACCAGGGATCGAACTCAGGTCCTTGTGCTTGCGAGGCAGGTGGCGGAACCACTGGGCTAAATTCCCGGCCCAAGCCTTATTAAATGACCATGTGCATTATGTTAATACCAAGCAAAATTTCCTGAATATAAGGTCCACATACAAATTCAGTTTTTTCCACGGCTAAAAAGATCTTGTTGGTGTATGGGGCAGGACAGGCTTTTTGTTCACTCAGATTACATGTTCTGTGACCTCATTCCAAGTCATGATGTCCCACACGGTGAGCCAGTCCTATATATAACAACTTGAAACTTGAGGCCATATCATGAGTGTGAGTGAACAGACTTCAGTGTTCCCAAGAGGTTCTCCCCTTCCAAGTACTCCCTGGGTAATGAGTCATGTTCTCAGAAAGCATCTAACTTTACAGAGCTGTACTTAAGTAAAAGGGGCACTTTTTTGTTGTTGCTGTTAAATTCTTTTATTGGTACATTTTAGGTATACAACACAATTACACGTCTCATTGGGAATTGTACCTTTACATAATGCATCTCGGTTCTTATTTTTTTCCCCATTCCTAGCCCTCCCTTCATCCCCTCCACCCTTCCCTATTTACAAAGACTTTATTTCCATTTTTTCCATTTCTCAGCATTTTTCCTTTCCCTTCTTTCCTTTCCCCTGCCCCTCCCACTACCCCTACCCCTTGGACCTTTTCTTCTTATTTTGCATTATCGATTATTCATTCTAATCATTGGTACATTTTAGGTATACAATATAATGACATTCATCATTGGAAATTTGCACCTTTACATAATCTCTCTTGGTTCTTATTTTTCACCCTTGCCCAGCCCTCCCTTCAACCTTTCCATTCCTCCCTATTTACAAAGATTTTGCTCCTATTTTTCTATTTTCTCATATTAATCCCATTAAAAGGGGCACTTTAATTTTTAGTTTTTTAGCATTTAATGTTGTAAGGGGTGGAAATAAGGCAAAATGAGAATTCATCAAAATTGTATTGAGGATCTACTACCTCCCAGAAATTCTGTTAATCTCTGGAAATTCAATAGTACTCAAGACACAGTCCTTGCCTTCGAGGATGTATAAAAATTTACCTCAAGCAGGGCCGGGGATTTAGCTCAGTGGTTTTGCCGCCTGCTGCACAAGCACAAGGACCCGAGTTCGATCTCCGGTACAAAAACAAAACAAAATTTACCTCAAGCAATATTTTGAAATGGTAGCAAAAAACATCTTGATGCAATTCATTTGGCAATTCTGAGAAAAAAACACAACCCCTCATGAGAAGACCAACTGTGGATTCACAGGCTTTTGAAAGTTTAACTCTGACTTACTAGCACTATGAGACAGAACAAGGGGAGCTGGAACAATCATCCTCATCTGTAGACCGTGTAAAGTCACAGGAGTATTAAATGAGGGAAAATGTACAAAACTGCTGCTCAGTAGCGGGTAGCCATTATGATTAGCATCATAGGGTTACAACTAACCCATTAGCTGTCAGTTACTGGGCCTCTGGTATGAAGGGGAATTTAAATGTTTTACTTAGGGTTCAGTACATACTTTATGTCTAACAACCTTATACAAATGTTCCTTAATTTACAGTGGGGTCACATCCCATGAAATTCATCATAAGTTGAACACACAGTAAGTCAAAACTACATATAATACAGTATTCTAGAAAGTATGGTTTTACCCTTGTGATCACATGGTTGACCAGGACTGACTGCAGCTGCTTCCTCTGCCCAGCATCATAAGAGTATCACAGGGTATTTTGAGCTCAAGGTGGGGATCAAAATTCAAAATCAGCAGTTTCTACTGAACGCATATGCCTTTCACAGTATCATAAAGTAAAAAAAAACCGCCTAAGTTGGGGACTGCCTGTACAACGAACTGTACATTTCATTTTCAGACATGGTCCAAGTATTCCACTGGTTGGCTGTAGTTACACTGAATGTAGCTCAACTGACTTCAGCCACCTACTCAGCTACGTGACTACACCCTGTGGTACAGGGGAATGGGGTGGGAGCGGCCAGTCTGGGTTCAGGGCAAAGCCCTCATTGCAGAACTGGGCCAGAAACAACTCTATTGAGGAAAGCTATCTTTTCCCACGAGGTGTTTTTTTTTTTTTGGTACCAGGGATGGAACTCAGGACCTTGCGGCTGCGTGGCAGGCGCGGTGCCCCTGAGCTAAATCCCCAGCCCTCCCACGAGGTTCTGAGAAGTGGAGCTGAGGAGTGCCAGACGAGGAGAGGCACTGCTAGCTAGAACTACTGAGCCAGTCCAGCGATGGAGGCGGTAGCAGGTGCTGCAGTTAACTCCTTTCCTGCTTGCTATCTGAACCACCATCAGAATCATAAAGATGGAATGATCCCTAAAAACCACCGATTTGGATAAACTGCCTAAAACGTTTTGCAAAAAAACCCCCATGCATTTCTCTGGCAAGAGGGTCTGTACTTCTCACCACATTCTTCAAGAGTCCAAGCCCGAAAACACTACATTCGCTGTTACTGTCCAACTTTCTCACTCACTATATGAACAGAGATCCAGAGAAGAAAAAGCGATTGCCTCAAGTCAAACTACAGGGACACCAAAAGTGAAGGCATTTAAAAGTGAAGGCATTTCAGTTCCAATTCCGGCCTTGAGTCCAGGATTTCTTCACTTCTCTCCCGGCCCCTAAAGATTCCCCAGGATTAGAGGGCTACGGTGCGAGCCCAGGCGCTGTCTCAGGCAGTCCAGATTCCAGCATCAAAGAGACTCCGCCAAGCGCCCGAGGGGGCTCCGTGGGCACTAAAACTCCCACACCCCGCCCTCACCACCGCGGAACCCTGTTGCCTTGGCGACTCCAGGTGGAGGACTGGGCACAAGGAGACCCAGCAAAGTGGAGGCGGATTTCTGCTACAGCGAAGAATACCACCCACTCACCTGACAGAAGAGGAAGCAGGCACGCCCCAAAAGACGGTTTTGAGCCCAAGGAGGAGGGAAAGGGGAGAGAAAAGAATAACAGGAAATGACGTAAGGCGCACGTGCTTCCAAGAGGGGCGGGTACTAGGCGTTCGAGAGGCGCGGCCATCGCCCTGCGCCTGCGCAACCGTCGCCTGCCGCGCTGCCGAGTCACTGCGGTGGGAGGAGCCCGAGTAGGGGGCGGAGCGCGTGGCTGAATGACGCAGGCGCAGTGCGACTTCACAGGCGCGCACCGCCCCCGCGGGTTTGGATCCGGGTCAGTCAGGCGCGGCGGTCGGGGAGAGACGGTCTGAACTGACGGGACTGGATCGCCAGGGCGCCCCAGCTGCGGGGAGGTAGGAGCCCAGAAGCGATAGGGAGGGGCCGCGGCTCCTCGTCCCGGCCTCCAGGTCCGGTTTGGCTGCGGGAGGCTTCCTTCGGGCCCGCCGGTTTCTCGTCGGGTCGTCTCCCGGCGCCGACCGTCTGGGCCCGTCTCGGCCTGGGCCTTTCCCGCAGCTCCTCATCCGCTGCGACCTGGACCTGCCCGAGCTAGGCGCTCTCGGCGCTCTCGCCGCTTCCCGCCTTCCTCTCCTCCCGCGGCCCCCGCCCTGCTCCTCTGCGCTCTCCCGTCCAGCCGTAGCTTCCCCTTTTCCCCCTCGTCGGCCGCCCTTTGCCCCTTCCCGCCTTTTCCCGCTCTTCTCCGGGCACCATTCTCGTTGCCCGCCCCTTCGGCTCCGCTCCCACCTCCTCGCGCCTCCGCCCGACTCCAGCCGTTCGTTTTGGCTCGGGGAGTCTGTTACGAGGCAGCTTTCCAGCTGGAGACCCGAGCGGCCTTCTCCCCGCGCTCGTAGCCCTCCCGGTCCTGACCATTCATTCCCCCAACCTGTTCAACCACGACAGGCCCAGATACTGGTTAAAAAGAATTAACAGGGTGCTTTGCTGGAGCCGTGCGATTGTGGGGGTTGTGTGCAGAGAGGCGTGGATGTGTTTTTGTCCTGGGGTCTTGTTTGCTTCGAGAGTTGTTGGACAGGGTTTTCTTCCTCAGGCTCCACACTTCCTGTGGTCCAGGAAAGTTTCGAAATCTTTTAACATTGTGATGACAAGCTTATGCGGGTCCCGCAGTGATTGTTTTCGGGTCCTGGAAATGTGGAATTAGGCTTGAGGTTTAAGGAGGTCTCTGTTAAAATGTAAAGATGTAAACAAGATTGTGATACTTGCTGTTCGTTCAAGTCAGAAAAAACCAGGAATTTCCCTTTTGATGGAGGAACTTACACGAAATTTACCTGCCATTTTTTAAAAGTTTTGGGGAAAATCCGAGGCAAAATTAAACTGAGATGTGATTTGACTTAATGCAAAGTAACTTCTAATAAGTCTTTACAAGTTTGATCGCTTTGGGGATTGTTCACGAAGTCACTTCGGTGAAAACGGCAGAAATGTCTCCCTCAAATTTAATACTAATGAAGAAGGGCAAACCAGTTATATCTGTTATACAGAGCTAGTTGTATAACTCTTGCTGTGAGTAAATGGGAAGCTAGAAATACGAGAAGCACAAATAAACTTCTAATTGCAAACATGTTCAGCGCTAGCTCTTAAGAGCATACCTAAGACACCTTGGCTCTGAGTTAAAGTAACTGAAGAAAAAGGTGAATAATTAAAAGCTGGAAACCCGAAAATAGTTTACACAGGACTTCATTCCTAAAGTTTTATCTGTATCTAGATTTTTATATGGTCTGTTTTGGTTTTTAGATGATAGTCTTTTTTTCTTTTTTTTTTTGGTACGGGGGATCGAACTCGGGTCTTTGCTCTTTCGAGGCAGGCGATGGGACCACTGAGCTAAATCCCCAGCCCTAGATGATAGTCTTTTAGTATGTCAACAAGAATGTTAAGTTTATATTAACACCTAAGGTGGTCACCTGCCCAGCTATTAAGTCAGCACTGTGTAATTAAGAGTTATATCATGCAGAGCTTCTTAGCACAGTATTATATTATAAATTCCTAGAGGACGGGAATGATATTCTAGTCTTTAGAGAATGGAGATCTCAGGCCCCCTATATTTCACGTTCACTCTTTTCTATCCATAGCATCCAGTATAGTGCCATGCCCATGGTAGGAATTCTATAAATATTTGTGGAAGGAATGAATTTCTGCCTGTAGAATTCAGCAATGTAGACTTAGATGTTATGTAGAGTTAAATATTGACTGATTTCCACAGAAGCCCAAAAGAGGGTTTGTGTGGGGTCTTCGGAGTTGGAGAAACTGGCCTAGATAATTTATTCTGTAAGGGGCCACAGGCTGAGTGTTTGGTCATAAAGTGACTGAGGAGAACTATAATTCAAACTTTTAATTTAGTTCTGACAGCAGGAAGAATTTACTTACAACCTATGGTAGCACCCTTTTAGATGCTGTGGAGCTTCAGGTATATTTAGATGCTGTGGAACTTCTGAATATGTGAGCATTGTGCACCCCTCCCCCTCCCATTGTGTATTTGGGGGGATCCTACCCTAAGTTGAGAATTAGAGACCAGTAAAATGTGGAATTGCATGAATGTTTCCTTCATACTTGTGTATTGGTTAAATAAACGGCCAAATATATATGGAGTGTATATTTATATTTTTTGTTTTATAAAATTGAGGGGAAAGCTAGTCATTCTTTTGAGAATGTTTTCAGTTTTCTCCAGAGAGATCTGGCTAAAATACCTTAATTTCTACACGTAAATAAGTGAATGAAGAGTCTTGATTCCTTTCTGCTTTATGCCACTGCTTTGTGATACTTCTTGGTTACATTAGACATATTATGACATTTGACCTTTGGAATGGTAGAGATCTCACAATACCATCAAATTCACCCTTGGGGAATGACCAGATAAGGAATTAGAGAGAATCCTAGGATTGGTAAAGGTGCACTGCACCTCGGGGTGGGGTGGGGTGGGGTTAGGATTATCAAATTAGAAATAAAAGGTAAATAAAAAAAAGAGAAAGAAATAAAAGGTAAAGAATATCCTTTCCTTCAAAAAATTTTTTTCTTTTACCTTTTTATTTCTGGATACTGCTTTATGTAGTTGTTGTCTTTGAAGATTTGGTACTATTTACCCTTAGTAAAACAATTTGAAGACTAGATTTCAAGAGTTTAACAGGCTTTTGTTGTTTTGGTTGGGCTTTCGTTCCTCTTTGTTTAAATATGAAAATCAAGATAGAAGAAATGAAGAACTTTGGTTAATCAAACTAGTTAAGCAGAGATTATTTAAAGGCACAGTAGTTTGTTTTTTACTTGCTACTTTTTTAGCTCTTAACTAAAGGAAAGTTCCACCTGTATCTCTTGAGTTGCAAGTATGTAGTTTATTTGCTTTAATAACAGTACTCAAAGCTACTTAAAAAAGTATCAACTTATAAGTAGAATATGGCATGATCAGTAATCACTGAAATAAGTTTGTAATCTGTTTTAACAATGATTATAATGCCTTGTTCTCAAATATGTCTGCATGCATATTGATGTCTGGGTCAGTATTGCTTTGGAGAAATGGTTATGTGTCATGAAGTTATACCTAACTAGAATTGTTAGGTTTAAACTAGACAAATAGCATTTTAAAACATCAAAGTGCTATAGTTTGAGCTTTTCTCTAATTCTTCTCTTTTTTCTGATGTAAAGGTTAATTTGTCCATAGATACCTACAATGGTGGTATTTTCACTCTTGTTAAAAAGTACAGTAAAACATAGACTTTTTAAAAAACACTATTTTGAGATAAGGTCTCACTATGTATTCCAGGCTGGTCTCAAACTTCCAATCCTCCTGTCTTAGCCCAGCCTCCCAAGTGCTGGAATTGTAGGCATATGTCACCACTGCAGCTAGATTTTAGGTGATCTAGTTTGCAACTGTGTAGTAGGGTGTTGGTATCAAGTATTTGGACAGTTTAAATTCTGCTATGGTGCATAATCATTTTCTGTGTTAATGATATCAGGAATGTAGGTGGGGTTTTGGTTATTGTTTTGTTTTTGGTAGTGCTAGAAGTCAAACCCTGGGCCCTGCATGTGCTAGGAAAGAGCTATTTCGTTGAGCTATATCCCCAGCCAGGAGTATAGATTTTTTTAATAGAGGACATACTTCTGATGCTACTTCTTTTCACTTTGCTCATCTTATTTTTATCTTTTTTTTTTTTTTTTTTTTTTTTTTTTTTTTTTTTTTTTTTTTTTTAGTATTAACGAGAACATCTATAGAAGTGTAAAAACTTTCACAATGAAATCTGAAGCCAAGGATGGAGAGGAGGAGAGTCTACAAACTGCTTTCAAGAAATTAAGAGTGGATGCATCAGGGTAATTAAATATGTAATATATTATTTGGAGTTATTTGTTTACTAGATTTAACTAGTCCTTTTCCTTAGTAAGCTTCTCATTTTTACATTCCTAATTATTTATTCATAGACAATATAAACCTTAATAGTGTGACATTCTACCAAATTCTCCACCATGTCATTTTACTTTAAAAAGAAACCCTTCTATTAAATTTGAAAGTAGCAGCTCACTTGTACTCCTAAGGTTGAGTGCATTGGTTTTCTTTAGCTTTGTGGAGGTAACCCACTTCAAGGATTATCAAGCAATATGCCATCAAAGATGACCTCATACTTCTCAAGGGAATCACAGTATTTTTCACCAAAAGTGAATTAGTCCAATAGAAATCTATGAAGACATTGTTGATTTCATGGTTTCTGCTTGCTGAGCCTATCACTATGGAAACCTCTATTCAGTAGGGTTCTGTGACTGAGATCAATAATCTTGGACCCTTTGGTCAGACTAATTAGAGCACCTGCAGACCAGCTGCTGTCTGAATGTTAATATTTCACCCTTTGCAAAATGTTCTGTGCAAGCCTCTTGTTGCTTCTATTCTTTGCCCCAGCCAGAAGAAATCTCACAATTTCAGTGGATATAAGAATTTTTATGAATGGAAACCAAACACTGGAACCTGACTAGAAGACTGTACAACAAGTAATTATAATCACTAATACTTGTCTCTCATTGGGTTCTCAATACTAGGTTAAGTACTTTGTGCACATTATTTAATCCTCACTGCCACCTTAGAAGATAGATACTTCTGTCATTTTACAGATGAGACACAACACAAATTAATCACTTGCCTGTTGGTCACATTGGAAGAAGTGACAGAAGCCAAAATTTGAACACAGTCTGGCTCCAGAACCTATCCTCTTAGTCATTTCTTTATGTAGTACTTGAAGAAACACCTAGCATAAAGTAAAAAGTAAATAGAAGTTGTTATTAAAGCTATCTGCCTACTGCTGGCACTATTTTTGACCTAACAAATGAGATTTATGTTAATAGATTTGCACAGTACTGTAGATGTTGACATTTGCTTTCATGATACTTTAAAACGATAACATTTTTCCATTGTTTTCCCCACTGTGGTCATCTTGCCATTTCTGTCAATACTTTGATAAGCTAGTTTGTGAAATGGAAATGAAGCAGAAAAACAGATAGTTCTAGATTGTGGTTGTAGTGTATTCTTCTGTGATTTCTAATATAAAAATAACTTTAAAAATTAGGAAAGTACTATTAATACACACACAGGTATGCATTCAAGCCCTTAGTGTGTTAAGGAAGTAATTTTTGATATACAGTCTTTTTTGTTAATGTTGTAAGAAATAAGAATGTAAAATTAAGCCATTTTGGTGGTGCTAAAAATTACTTGGACCATTATAAAATATCTTCAAAGTATCTGTACAATATATGGGTGAAAATTGTGTGTTTGTAGTATGTGATCTGCCTTAAGTGAAATTATAAGAGGAGAAAGAGCCCTGGAGAACACTGGAAAAAAAACAGAGTAGAAGGGGTTCATCATTAGCATGACTAAGCAAAATAAAATTTGTATAGTGTACCATACATTTTTAGTTTCATCTTGTTGCTAGTTTATAAATGGGACTTCTGAGGGACTGACTCATAAATGAACCAAGTCTTGCCAGGAATTTAGCATGATCCTGCTCAACAGGTTTTGATTCCTAAGGTGTTTGTCTTATCAGGACAAATACCTATATGTTTATGAGAAAACAACATAATCCTTTATATCTGACTAAAATAATATATGTATATTATAGAAAATTTACAAAAACAAAGTTTAGAGTTAAAAGTCATAATTTATCATAACCCATTTTATTATCTGTACGTAGTACCATATAGTTTTTTCTAGATAGCTGAGATTATAACGTGTAAGTATTACATGCTGTTTTCTCCTGTATTATAAGCATGCTCTCATATCATTAAAAGTTCTTTTGTACAAGTAATTTTTAATATATTCTTAATGGTTTGTCATATAGATATGCCATAATTTATGTAATATGATATTTTTGTTGTTGGATATTTAGGTTATTGCCAGTTTTTATTTTAAATTATGTTTCAGTGAACATTTTTTTAGTTTAGATGAATTTCTTTTCTGAAAGATTTTTATTAGTATCATAGCATGTGTAGAAGGAGTCAAGAGTACGTGTGTGTGTGTTGGTGTATGTCTGTGTATGTATTAAATCTGGAAGAATTTATATCAAAAATGTGAATGTTGGGCTGGGGATTTAGCTCAGTGGGTTTGCTGCCTGCTGCGCAAGTGCAAGGACCCAAGTTCAATCCTCAGTACCAAAAAAAAAAAAATGTGAATGTTGGTAGTTCTAGGTTGTGAGATTATGGATAGTTCTTTTTGTTTTCTCTTTTAAATTTGTTAATGGAAACTATATCACGTGTATACTTTTTTTTTTGGTGCTGGGGATCAAACTCAGATCCTTCCACTTGCTCAGCAGGCATCGAAACCACTGAGCCAAATCCCTGGCCCTCACGTGTATACTTTTAAACTAAAGATTTAATTCTGGATATTTCAAGTTTATGAATTTTCAAAAATTAGAATATTTTTAAAAAGTTATATACTGTTTTAAATGTATACTTATTTTAAAGTTGGATTGAGCTCCTAAAGGTTTTAGTCCCATCTTAAACTTAGGTCCCACAGCTCTGATTTGCCTGCATAAAATAAATGGTTGATGTCATTAGCATTCTCTCTGAAAGTGAGGCCTGATCTGCCCCAGATAAACAGCCTAAAAGTCTGTTTATATCCTGCTGCTGGCTATACTTAAGAATCATTCTTTGGTTTGTGATTTTGCAATCATGGGTTTTAGTGATCCTCTAAATTTAATTTTGGAGGAAAATTTATACTACAGTCTGATGAATTTTTCAGAAATGTAAACTAGAAAAAATAAGGATATTGCTAAAAGTGATATTTGGGTTAGAGCAATACGTTCTCCTCATTTACAGTTTTCTATAGCAGTGAACTTTCTTTTGTTCTTGTCTTAAGGTCTGTTGCGTCGCTGTCCGTTGGAGAAGCCACAAGTATCAGAGCGTCAGTCAGAGCAGCAGTAGATGATAATAAACCTAAAGCCACATGTCAGTCTAAAGACAGTTGGCATGGGTAAGAGCTTCTTATTGATATTATTGATTTTTATCCTAATACCTTAAAATATTACAAGATTTTCTCCTGAGTATCCAGGAAAAAAAATATACTATGATACGGAACCTAAGGCACAATAGTTAAGAGGACTCATTCTTCTCACTCATAAGTTTGCTGAAACTTTATGGCTGGTTCAGTGTCAATTTTTGTAAATAAATATGTGTTTGAGAAGAATGCTTCTTCTCTAAATGTTCTTGAGTTCTGTGTCCATTCAGACTTTTAAATTTGTTATTTGAGTCTGGGCATGGCTGCACATTCCTGTAATCCCAACTACTCAGCAGGATGATCAAAAATTTGAGACCAAAATAGGCAACTTATGAAGATTTTCTCTCAAAATAAAGTTTAAAGGGGCAGGTGCTTCAGTGGTAGATCCCTTGACTAGCATGAATGAGGTCCTGGGTTCAATCTCTAGTACTACAAAAGGGGTGGGGTTTTGAAATTTTATTTCTTTTTTGGTCATCAATCTATCAGTAATTGAGAGATATGTTAAAATCTCCTGCACAGGAATGAATTTGTCTATTTTACTCTTAAGTTTTATATTTTTGCTTTATGTAATTTTGGGATTATTTTGCTAGGTTCATAAAGCTTAAGTTTATTCAAGTTTAGAATATTCCTAGAAAAATTGGAACTTTTACTATGTGGTTTTAATAAAACCATTACAGTGGTGCCTCAGTTTATGAACTTAGTTTTATGATTTTGGGGGAAGACGGCTGTGCTTGTGTTTGTGGGGAAAAGATGGCCATGGTCATGTTTGTCACCTGATGTGGAGTTTGCAAATGTAAGCAAAAGTTTTCTGACCATTTGTTTACTAACCAAATTGTTTGCAAACAGGTATTTGTAAACTGAGGTATTATTGTGTATGGTTTTTGTCTTAATATAAATTGTCTGGAGTTAATATAGCTAGTCCAGTTTTCTTTTAGTGTTTGCATAGTATGTCTTTTGCTATTTCAACCATTCTGTGCTTTTAAATTTTAAGCATGTCAAAATAAATAAATAAATAAATAAATAAGTAAATAAGTAAATTTATTTATTTATTTATTTATTTATTTATTTATTTATTTATTTATTTATTTATTTATTTATTTATTTTAAGCATGTCTTGGCCGGGGGTTTAGCTCAGTGGTTTCGCCGCTTAGCGCAAGGACCGGAGTTTGATCCCTGGTACCAAAAAAAAAGAACAAATTTTAAGCGTGTCTTAAATAAATTAACATATGGCTTGGTTCTATTTGTGTTTTATTCAGTATAATCATTAGGACCTTCTTATCTGCTGAGTGCTTTACATTTATTTTGATCATTGTTGTTATTTTGATTTTACCATTTTCCTTTGTTTTATTCTGCTTTTTTTCTCCCTTTTTTTAAACCTTCCCTCCCCTCATCTTTAAAAAAGTTATTAGAAATGTTTTATTTACTTTTTCCCTCTGCCATTTTTCCTTATAGTGGTTTGGAAATTGTATATAGATTCTAGTCATTCTTTTAGTAGTTAGCCTAGATAGTTAGATATGTCTATCTATAGATATTATAGATCTATAGATGCTGGGAATCGAACCTAGGGCCTTAACACTGAGCTGGATACCTAGCCCTTTTTTAAAAAAATTTTAAGACCTAAGTTACACAGCCTCAGCCTCTCAAGTGCGGGAATACAGATCGGTGCACCACACCTAGATTTTCACTGTCTATATTCTTATTTTAATTCTTATCAATATGGCTGTTCAGCCAACTCTATCTCAGGCCCTTCCCCGAGCTAGCTCCCTTACTCATAAGTTAACTAAATGAACTATTTTCTACAGTTTGTCTCATTTTTGTTGGTAAATATAGTTTGGTTTTCTTTTTTTCTTTTTTTTTTTATGCCAATACTAGCGATTGAACCCAGGACCTTCACACTTTTTTATTTTGAGATAGTCTTGACTAAATTGCTCAAGCTGGGCTTGAACTGGTGATCCTTGTGCCTCAGCCTCTTAAGAGTACAAGGAATTACAGATATGCACCACCAGTGGCTTCATCTTTGTTTTTGAAAGATAGACTTGATATACCTGAAATCTCTCTCTTTTTTTTTTTTGTACCGGAGATCGAACTCGGGTCCTTGCACTTGTGAGGCAGGCAGCAGAACCACTGAGCTAAATCCCCAGCATCTGAAATCATACTTGCAGGTTGACAGTTATTTTCCTTAGCACTTGAAAATACTATTCATGGTCTACTTGATATTAGAAGGCCTACTATGAATTTAAATGTTGCTTTTTTGGAAATCTGTCTTATCTCTGGCTGCTTTGAAGATCTATTTTGTTTTTGAGATCTATTTTTGCTTTTAAGATCTGTTTTGTTTCTCTTCTACGGTTTCTTTGGCATATCAAGTTTATAGCAAGTATACACAGACCTGAATTTTTATATATACCTTGTGTTTTCTAATCCTGCTAAATTCAAATTCAAGTTCTAGGGGCTCCTAGAGATTTCTTTGTATTTTCTCTGTAGATGATCATTTCATCTACATACAAAGATTTTGCTTCTGCCGTGCCAATCGTATCCTAGGTTGTGTCATTTTATTGCCAGACTATTTTGGTGGGGACTAGGCTTCAAAGTTTAACGGACAGATAAAGAGTAAGCATATCTGCCCTTGTTCCCCACCTTA